GAGTATCTTTAAATTTATACATTATGCTCGATCTAACAAAGACGGAGATCTGGAAATTTTCCTTGAAGGAAAAGCTATCAACAACTTTATCGATGAAGGTACGAGATCACAAAACCAGAAATGAGAGAGAGGAGATGAGAAGCTTCATGAATACCTGGAACAACAAAATGTGTATGCTCCTTAACAGTTTTTCCAAGAGAAGGGGGTCACCTGATGGTATAAAAAAAACGAAATGGACTACTTTCTATGTAGAAGTGGGTAGATGACAAACAGGACATAGATAATATCGATGCTAGACTGAACGAATAAGTTCAAAAAGCAGAAAATAAAATAGCAAAGAATAAACACCAAAAGGAGGAAAGGATAAGCGCTGAATCATAAGAATTTATGAAACAAAGATAGTGATGTAGAAAAATCAGAAAATCAAGAAAAGTTTATATCCAAAGACGGATGGTAACAGGTTGAAGAAGAAAGAGAAGATGCAACTCTTTACATTTCGCAATGCTGATTTCTATATAACTATAGACAACCCAGAACATCCCCTTGCAGGTCTTTTCATATTTTTCCATAGCAAACTTCATAGTGAATTTCTTCAAATCTTTGTTTCATTGGTAGAATCGTAGATGTAGGCTTCTTCTTCTAGGATTCATAATCCATCTCTATCGTGCTAAATATAGGGTATTTCGACGGGTAAACCGCAGGCGCAGGTAATTTTTTATACAGCAGATTGCTTGTTTAAAGGTTACCATCGATGATTCTCCCTGATTTTTGCTGATTACCAGCAAGATTTCCCAATAGTTTCCCTGATAACATAACCTCAAATTATAAAGATTTTTGGAAACCGCGCATGCAAGAGATTGACATTTCCTCATGAATTCTTCTGGATTTCCTTATGATTTCCCCGGATTGCCTGAGATTTCCTCGGATTTCTTCTTGATTTTCCCTAATTTGTACACCAAATTTTCCTTCCAGTTTAGTTTTGTACACCAGATTGCGGTTTTAGGAGAAAACATGTATGATTTCTTTCTAATATTTTCTTATTATATTATTCATTTTATAACTTTCAATTTTTGTCTAGGTATCCCAGGCGCTAGGCTTTCTGAAATAATTCTGACGTTTTCAAATTGTTCGGAAGCCTTCCAAAATGCTGCTAGAGAGTGTTTTGGAAATGGCTTATCGAAGTTCTAAAGTGTTCTAACTTAGCTTAAAAAGTTCTAGAGTATTCTGGAAGATTTTCAGTAATTTCTAATTTGTTCTGACAGATTTTCAAGTATTTAAGAGCCCTATTGAAGCTCTAAAAGTGTTCTAAATTGGTTCAAAAGAGTTCTAAAATGTTTCCTGTTCTAAATTAAATCCTTATTATTTTTAAATAACTCTGAAGATTCTCAATTGTTCCAAAATGCTCCTGAAAATTCTGATTTGGATTTGAACTGTTTTGGATGCTTATTATAAATGTTTAAAGTTTTACATCAATTCGCGCATCATGAGATTTTGGTGCCTTTCAAAATGTTTCTGGAGATTCTAGAGTGTTTGAGTGTTTTGGAGCGTTCTAAAATGGGTTTCATAACTTCTGAATTGTTCTAAAATGCTTTTGGGAATTGTTAATCAGGTTTTGAATGCTTTGGTGCATTCTAAAATGGTTCTGAAATTTCCAAAATGTTCTGAAGCGCTACAGAATGCTTTTGGAAATTCTGGAATTGAATTTTAAGTGTTTTGAACTTTCCAAAACGCTTATTAAAGTTCTAAAGTATTCCGTAGCATTCTAAATAGTTTCCAGTTACTTCCTAATGGAATGAGAAACGAATTCAAATTGTTTTGCTTACGTCTTCAAGGCGTTTTAAAGACATCTTGAAGACACCGTATACAAAACCCAACGTCTTTCAAACGTCTGCTTAAAGACGTCTTTAGGACTGAGACGAGATGTCCCAAAGACGTCTTTTAATCTCTTTCCAATACAGAATCCATTATTGACTCCTAGACGTCTTTTTTTTTTTGGTTTTCAGACGTTCAGACGTAATGCAGACTTAAAAAAGACGTATTTAGCACTTTGCGTGCTGTGGGGGTTATGATTTACCCTGATTATTTCATTTATTATAAAATAGACCCATCAGACAACGTCATTTTTTGAATGAATTTTGTTTAAATAAGTGATTATTTCACAAGACCTTGTTTATCAGCGAATATTTTTTTGCTTGCCCTCTCATACTTACTTTCAGGCAATTTATCTCGATCTGTTCCATCCATTCGAGACCAAGCCAAAAAATATCCGGCTAAATCTGAGCTCTTATGGTATTACCTACGATTAAATTTTTTTTTACCTTTTTTGACAGAATTTTGATAGAAATATTCTGACATTTTATAATAAATAGAATATTTTGGATAGGATTGACGCCAACAATTCAATCCTAATTATTCAGGAAATAATCTAGCCGTATACCACTCGACCTATAAATTTAAATGGATTAAACTATCCAAATATTTTTTGCATAATTTTGCTTTTTGGCAAATAGTTTCATGCACAATAACTTTTAAATAGAAGCCTTTTATTAAGTTATTGTGCATTCAACTATTTTCCAAGCAAAATCATGCTCAAATTATGTTGGATAGTTTAATCGATTAAATTTAATGCTTTTGTGATATAATATGTGATTAAATCATGAATGATTTCTTCTCATTACCAGTATGATTGCCCAAGAGTTCCCCTGATAACATCACCTCAAATTATACAAAATTCTGTGCGTTAGATCTAGACATTGACTGATTTCCTTAAGATTTCCCATGATTTTTTAAATGATGTTCCCTGACTTCCTTCAGATTTCCTCATGATTTCTTCTGATTTCCTTATAGATTTCCCCTAATTTATACACCAGATTTCCCTTACGGTTCACCCTCGGTATTTTTTTCCCTTCTCCTGCTTCCTAGCCTTGGTTTTTCTAAAAACAATTCAATATTTATTTGAATTGGTTGCAATATTCATATAAAAACTATAGCTTTGACGAGTTCTTCTTGAGTAAAGTAAACCATTGTAGTAGACAATAAGGTCAACATAAAACGTACCTACCTATGACATTTCCTCCAAATGGAAAATTGCAAAATATAAAATTTCCACACTTTTCTCTCATAATAAAACTTTTATGAAATTTTCCATTATAGTTTTATCGGTGCGATATGCCATTTGGAGCCACTTTTCAAAGCTCCATTAAATCATAAACATATTTGTGAAATTTCAATTTTTGTCGTAACAAAGCTTTTAGAAGATTTACGACTGGCTATAAATTTAATGTTTGACCCTATAATTTTTTTGATAAAGTACCTACTTGCCAATAATGAAATTATTGATGAAATATTCTACAGGCGTAATTTTTAAATAATTTAACAAGAGAACTAACTGGCCCTTTGATGAGGGCTGATGAATAATTCATAGTCGTCCGTTATACTTACTGAATTTTCATGACCCATTTATCTTCGTCAATTTTTCTAATTTCAAGAATTTGTGTGATGGTCACAATAATCTCTATTTGAATAAAATATGACTGGAAAATTGAGCTGTTCCTATCAACCCCCATTGACATCCTGTCCACGTTCATCGCAAAGTATGCACATAATGCCTTATTGTCAGAAGGAATTTCATTTTGTGTGAACTTTTCAGTCTAATATTATCTACTGCTCGAGAGATGATCGGTCTTTTAAGAAAATTCCATTTCCAGGTGACAATATCCTGAATTTATTTAGAATAGTAGTTGTATTGGAATTTATAAAACTATGTCAATCTTTTGGTAAATTCATCATCTACTTTGTTATATAGAAACAAGATAAATGAGTTGACGGAAGCTCGTTAAAAAGGGATTATCGAAGGGATAAATAAGCTACAAATTTGCCCAAGTGCCACATGTTTCAAAATGTAATCGACTTTATCAATACGGTTAAAAGTGGATTGATACAGGCTACTCGAGATGCGTAAGTTAAACTTAAAACTTGAATTAAGGCAATTAGCTTCAAGATATTCCCTTGATGCGAGAGGAGTCCCATCAGGCAAATTAAATTTTAATTAGTTTTGTTTGTAGATAATTCAATATTTAAAAAAAAACAAAACAAGTTCCATACTTGTATGTTGAAAACAATACTTGCCAACTCCTATCAGAAACATGTGTTGCGGTTTTCCATCAAGTTTAAAGTTCGAGCACGTTTTGTCAGATTTTTTGCAGGAGATGTTTTGCTGGCTGGAAATAAAAATGCAATTAAAATGCCCAACAAAAATTTCAGGTCTGGAATTTTCTAATGAAACATTCTTTTAAAAATAAGGTATCAATTTCATTGAGTTGAAACTATGTAGGTGCTTTTTTGAAATTAAATTCTTCAGTTTATTAGTGCCGGGAAACAGAATTATTCCACGTATAGGATGGATGGATTTTCAGGAATCAATTATATTAGGGAATACTCGAAATTCGAATCTCAAACATGAAAATTCGTCATTTGCAGGCTCTGATCTGGATTTGGTAAAATGAAATTCATTTAGAAACATATAAGTACCTATACAGGCCAAGTTTTTAAATTCACCATAACAAGGACAGCATTACATCACAGTGGTGAAAATGCGCATATTATGTCATTGATGATTTTAAAAAATTGCTCATAGTTTTTGACAAAATCTAAAGGGAACGTGCACAACGGAGCTGTGATACGTACTTATAGAAACTGTGGCTTATAGCTCGGATGATAGGAACTACTATTTTTATTATATAATTAGGTACACATGCACTTATTTTCATTAAGTGTAAGTTCATATTTCTTAGTTATTTCTGAAAATTTTGCTATATTTAAGGGATTCTCAGCTTTGGTTAACTCAAAAAATAAAATCCCATTCCAGAAAATTTCTAATCGTGAAACCAATTTCTTTTTACCAAGAAACCCTAAGGGAGTCGTTGAAAAACCACTACACCAACGTAGAAATCGATTGCCATTGTGAAGAATAAATTACATATAATAAATTTATTTTTCAGTTTACAAAAACACATGAAAAATGCCGAGGATTCAGACTATCCGTCCTACGGAATCGTGGGGCCCAATAAGGACTTCGAGAAAAAAGACAGGGACGAGGCCGGCGATAGAAGATTGGCTCAATCGGCTCAAATGTATCACTATCAACATCAAAAGCAACAAATAATTGCTATGGGAAGGTAAAAACATTTTGTCCTTTAAAAGTTTGGATAATTTAAAAGTGGATTAAACATTTTCAGGAATCCCCAAGGACATGGTTCACAATCTGACACAGATGAAGAGGAAGATGAGGAAGGCAACTACACAGTATACGAATGTCCTGGATTAGCATCCGTAAGTCAAAATTTTTATTTAATTTTAAGTTACTTAATTATTGCGTAATTTTTTTCTAGATTGAAGGTCCTTTGGAAGTCAAAAACCCAATGTTCGATGACGATTTATTGACTCCATCACTAACCCCTTCCAACCCGACCAATAACGCTACTAACAAGTAAACCCTCTCTTTGTCCTCTATTTCAATTGCACAAATTAATTAAAATGTGCCAAAAAAAGTAAGGAATATAATATATTATGAAGCAGCAAAAGTAATTATTTTTATTTTAATCCCCTTACCAGGTATTTCTTACTTTTTTTGCCACTTGTACAGACCAAAAGATCATCACCTGTCAGCGTGATCAAATTAGCAAATTTTAGATCCTAAAAATCCTATCAAAATAATATAAATTGATATAATTATGTATATCAGAAGTGGCTCTATCTATACACGTCTTTAAACTTATAAATACACTTATTGTAGATTATAGAATGAAAAAAAATCCATATATGTATATGAATGTTAACTATGTTACTATATCTGTTTGTTTACTCTGCGATATAAATTTTATTTCACAAATTTTAATACGAATTAAACAATTTTATATAAGTATTGGCAAAAATGGACAATGAGCATTGGATGGGGAGTTATTGTTTTAAGGATGTATTACGAAAAAATCTGCTTTATTTTTGATGAAAGTTGTCTAATTTGCATAGCTTTATGTAAAATCAGGCAAAATTCCTTGTATTTATAGAGACTCTTTGGTATAAACCGAATTGTTTCCTAGATGTTCCTTAATAATCGGTTATTTATTTGAAAATAGAAAGCTCTAATTAAATTCCGCCACACTTTTTAAATTAAATTTTAAGGAATCAGCATACAATTAAGGAAAAAAATGGAGATATTGAATCATTTAAAAACATATCGATATAAATGAAGCTCCTTTTTAAACTAAGCCAAACCGAAACAATCGAGTGATAACATGGGTAAAACGTTGTTCTCTACTTACATAATGTAATATTTATTTTATACATTTTAATAATTTCACATTTGAATAAAAAAATGTAATCATTATTTTATCATTCAATATATGAAAATACTTTACACTATAAAATATGTTGTTTAATTGTGTTTTAGAAGTAGGTATTTTGAGTTGTTGTAGTAGTAGTAGTAAGTAGTACACATATAATGCTTTATTGTCCAAGAAACTCTAAATCTTATTGACAAAGCAAACTTAATTTAAAATACCTAAATCTATTCCTTATAAAAATTACAAATAAAGTATCTACATATAATATAAATATAAAAACACTCAGAGTATAAAGAAGCAAGAACAATAGAAAGACAAAAATATCTGGCAAGTGACAGCTTCATCAAGAAAAAATAAATAAATAGTTTAAAATAAGAAAAAAAAAAAAATTGTTTAAAATAAGAAACAGTAGGCACCTACTTGGTAATAGTAGTGCTCTAATTGTTCAGTTCTTACTGCAATCCTGAAAGTCTCTATTTCTCAGAAACTACACATTGCAACATCATGAGAGTCAGGGTTTCCTTAAAACCAATGATATCACTGAAATATGCATTATTTTGATGAATGTCTTTTAAATTTTAAATCAATTGACATTGTTTTTGAGAACATTAGTTTTCAACTTTTGGACAAATTTTCGGCTAAAACTTCACTGTGAACGATGTTTAATACTCAATAGCTTGGTGATTTTAAAAGCAACCAGTTCCAAACTTGGCTCAGTTTATAGAGAATTTGATGCTTTTTCAAGCAATATATCACTTGAATGAAATTGCTGGTGTCCCACGACGTTTTTCCCGGGTGATAACTTAGGAAAGCGTCATCCAATAAAGAAGAAAACTGAAATTCAAAAGCCTGGAAAAGTCGAAAATTGATACGAAAGAAACAAAACATTCGAGAATAATTGATTTTCCTTCTATTCCAGGCTCTTGAGAATGTTCCTTTTTCTTTTTTTCGAAATTGAAATTGAAGAGAAGGAAAATAAAGACAAGAGTTTTAGGGAAATTTGATAATTTTTGTTTTCTATTCCAGGTTTTTGACTGTTTTTTTTTTAATTCTTTTATGGAAAGAAATTTCATTCAGAATTTTGACTGTTCCTTAATGATTCTTCTAAAAAGAAATTTGGATTAAAATAGAAATTCAAGAGCCTGGAATAGTTGAAAATTGAAACTAAAAAGAACGGAAATAGAGACAAGAGTTTTAAGAAAATTTGATCATTTTTCTTTTCTATTCCAGGGTTTTGACTGTTCCTTGATTCTTCCATAGAAAGACATTTTATTCCAGGATTTTGTCTGTTCCTTAAATGATTCTTCTATGAAAAGAAATTTGGATGGAAACAGAAATTCGACAGCATGGAATAGTTGAAAATTGAAACTAAAGAGAAGAGAAATAGAGACAATAAGAGTTTTCAGGAAATTTCATATAATTTTTCTTTTCTATTCCAGGCCTTTGACTGTTCTTTGATTCTTTTATGGAAAGAAATAGTATTCCAGGATTTTAACTGTTGTCTGATTCTTCTATACAGGGCTTTCATTTTAAAACTTGCCACCCACGTTACCTGCGTAAGGAGGCATATTTGCGGAAATCGCCGAAACACGTCAACAGATTTATTGAGGAGGAAGGTTTTTTACGTAAAACTGGACTTCGCGCCCCTTCAACCCCCTAAGTCCTAGGGCTACCTCCTCAAAATTTTCAAATGAGACAGGAAGTCGAGTGATAGGTAGATTATTTTAAAGGGCTGTTTAATCTGTACATTTTGCTGTTCAATTTTTTGAATTTGACCTCAGTGTCACAGAATAACACCCATTTAAAAATGCCTACTTATTTTTAAAAACACCTGCTTCTTCACCTACCTTTTTATTACAGCAACAGGTAATTAAGCAGGTGTGTTTAAGGATAAATAGGCATTTTTGAACATGGAAATGGGTGTTCTTCTGCAACACTGAGGTCAAATTTGAAAAATAAGACGGCAAAATGTACAGATTGAACAGCCCTTTAAAATCTATCACTCGAAACCCTATCTCATTTGAAAATTTTGGGGAGGTAGCCTAGGGCTTAGGGGGTTGAAGGGGCAAAGTCCAGTTTTACGTAAAAAACCTTCCCTCAATAAATTTGTTGACGTGTTTCGGCGATTTCCGCAAATATGCGTCTTTACGCAGATAATGTGGGTGGCAAGTTTTGGAATGAAAGCCCTATGTAGAAATAAATTTGGATGGAAACAGAAATTCAAGAGCCTGGAATAGTTGAAAATTTAAACTAAAAAGACGAGAGATAGAGACAAGAGTTTCAAGGAAATTTGATCATTTTTCTTTTCTTTTCCATGTTTTTGACTGTTCTTTGATTCTTTTATGGAAACAAATTTTATTTCAGATTTTTGACTGTTCCTCAATGATTATCTTCTATGAAAGGAAATTCAAGAGCCTGGAATAGTCAAGAATTGACACTAAAGAAAAGGTAAATGGGAATAGAGAGCAGAAATTCAAGGAAAATTGCTCATTTTTCTTATATATTCCGGGCTTTTGAATCTAATTATTCTTTTTTAAAAGTAGATTAGAAGAAAACAGAACTTCAAGAGCCTGGAATAGTAAAAACTAGACATTAAAGGAAGAGAAATAATGCTAAAAAGGACAGCAAAGGCATTTATAATATCAAATTTTATACTTGTGGGTATTTATGCATTTTTGCAAAAAAACTAAGACAATAACCGTAAATCCTGCAATAAATAGGTACTAAAATAGAATTTTTGAGGATTTCAACTACTATCAGATGCTTCAAACATCTCAGTACATCTCTAGTTTAATTTAGTGTTTAAGTATAAAGATAAGGATTCTCAATTAAAACATGACAAAATGGACATTGAAAAGACTTAGGAACATAGAAATAAGAAATATTAAAAATCTGGAATAATTATTCTGTTATAAATCTAGAACGAAATTATACTAACAAAAAACCTGTGTTTCAAAGAACTTCATTTTTCTAACATTCAATTGAAATGACTGTTTTTCAAGCAATGGAGTAAACTTGCAGGAACTTTGTAAACGTTAAACATAGAGTTGTTTGCTATTTTTGAAACATTGAAATTTATTCTAGATGGATTTCTCTGTCCTTTGGGTAATAATCATTAAGTAGGTCCTACTTTGATGGCAATTATCAGAAATCGCTCTATGTTGGCAGTTTGGGAAATCACAATGGTTCCTGTATATTTTGATTTGTTCCTCTATACCTTCTATGATAAAAGTTTCAGAAAACAAGTTGTTTAGAGCAGATAAGAAAGAGAAGGTAGTAGGTAATAAGGTACTTATAAATTCATAGGATTTATTATACAAATTACAAATTATAAATTTCCATATTTTTTCTACATTTAAACCTACAATTACAGAATAAACTTAAGACAATATACAGCATTATTTCTCCAAAGGAGCATAATTGAGAAGTTTCTCGATCAAATCCACATGTCCCAAAAGCATCCTCCGGCAACAGTACCTTTTGAGACCCAAAGCATCAAGAGCGTCGCCTTCTGTGTATTCAGCTTGTAAGAGACCAAGATAGGCTTCCCATTTATTCCCAATTACCTTGCCACAAGTGAAACAACGTACCGGGATGATCATTTTTTAGGAAAATTCAAATTCTAAAACGAATGGTGATATCCACAATAGAAAATGACGATTTAAGATAATTGTATGTGCTGAAAAAGGACTTACCTAGGCTTAAAGACAATAAAAACTGGGGGAAAACAATTATTAAAAGGCAATTTTTCAAAATAATTACAAAATGTTTGTTTTCCTAGGAGGCCAAATATAACCTAACCTCACAAAAAATGTCAGCCTCAAGCCTGTCAAAAAAAGGTGTTTTCTTTTCTCAAGGCTTTGCACTCCACGGAGCGAAACGGTATAAGAACGGATGCCTTACCGTATCGCTATGCTATGTCAAAACTAGTTTACGCTCCATTTATGCCTGCAAAAACAGCAACTTCTAATAATTCCTCTTTAAAAAAGACCAAAGAGAAAATTAATCAAGCTCAAAATTTTTTAGGATAAATAAATGTTAGAAAACAAGCAAAAAAAAGTTGGGTCAGATCATTTAACTCAGCTGTCAAAATGTAAACAGAATAAGGGATTAGAGGATTTATGTGTCTTCGTGTCCAAGAACTATAAAATACCATGTAAAATACCGTATTGTTAGCGATACCGAATTAGCGTAGCGTCTGAAGCACGAGAACTCTCTAATACTCTTTTGACCGAACGAAAAAGAGAACACTTGTAGCTGGGTTCGGCTATTCAGCGCGGAGTTGGAGTGGAGTGAACAGAGCTAATGGAGTCACCCCTAATACGGTAAAATGCATTACCCGAGCCATAACCCGAACGGCTGGAGTGCGAATGGAGTCACTCGGAGTGAGCAAGCCGAACCCACCTACTGAGAGCAAAATCGTTTCGAGCGCGCACGAGCTCAGAGTGCTTACTGCTTATACATTTTCTATGACGTCATCATCAGTACACTCCTAACTGGAAAAACTTGTAAAATGAGAAAAAAAAAACTCATTTATTACTTAAAATCCTAATTAACAGTAATAATAATTATAATATCTAAAGACAAAACGTGGCAGAAGTAGAATTAATCAGATCGTAAATAAAAGTGTTAACCAGCGGTTTATATTGATGCGTTATAACTTTGATAACTTCTTGAGCGGCGCAACCACCTAAAATAGACGAAACTGAATGCAACTCCGCCCCACCGTATCTGCAAACCTCGTGCACCCTTTCGTCTCGTAAAACATGCGAGTAGCCCCATTCATTTAAAAGTTTATTGATAATACCTGAAATTATAACAAATTACTTACCTATTACAACAAAATCAAATTGTTACCTTTCAGTTTTAAAATATCAGGCTCGACTTGGTCATCCAACTGGCCTGGATAGGCATTGAACTCGCTAAGAAATCTTTCCAGGCCCCTAAGAATCACATAATAAAATATCAAGCTATCAGGATCCTCCAAATACGAAGTTAAATCTAGGCTAGTTTTTTGGTATTCGTCAGCCAAGCAACTGCCACGTATCAAATGAAGCTCACTGGAGTGTTTGCAAAAATATTTTACCTAAAAATAATCGCATCAAAATCAATTTCAACCTCATCACCCTCCTTACTTCACTTTCAGTAATACTATCTTGTGGCAACCCCAAATTCCTAATAATCTCCAAAGCCCTTCTATAAATACTTTCGGCTTGATTTTGCGCTTGCTTCTGATAAATATTTTGCAGAGTAATATAGCTTTGTGTATCCGCTGCCATGTCGGGCAAAGTGCCCTTCAAAGGCAACGCCCCCTCAGCTTGAACCATTTCTCTTAAAGCCGAGCACATGATCCAAAACGACGAGCTGTTTTGAGTAAGTTTTACACAACAATCGTCATCCAAAATCGTTTGCACGTGATCCGGAATCGGTTTAGTGGTAGCGCAAGTGTTAGCATAATGTATGGCTTGCTCGAAGTTTTCTTCCAAAATAAATCGGTTGTTGCCTTCCTCACTGTGTCCACTGTCTTTAATCATTTGCTGTAACTGTTCCCTTTCGGATCTTTTCTGTGGAACATTACCATCGTGACTATCTTTGTACTTGTTCAAATAGTAATGCAATATTGCTACAGGCGGCACGTGGCTTTTTTCTTTTTGGTCTAGTTGTTCAATATCGATACTGTTCAAGTAGTCATTGAGCGCCGGCCAAGGCTGGTCCAATCTCAAATCGGGACTTTCGTTGTCTGGATGAGCCTCGATAACTGTGTGCTCTTTGATTTGAAGCCTGATGTAACCTAAGAAGCCGATGCTTTGGCATACTAGAAGGGGGACTTCACATTCCCAGAGGTGTTTTGAAAGAGGGATTAGGACTCTGAAAAAAAAATGTTGCTTGAAATTGAAAAAAAATATTACTTTTAGGGGAATAGTTTCATTTCCAGGAAGCTTTTTTTTTAAACAAAAACTTTATTTCTTCACCTAAATAATTTACAATATTTGACAGATTCTCTAAACTGTGCATTGAGCCCTGGCCTCGAGAATATACTTCTTACATAACTATTGGCACAGAATGTTAATTTTTCATTTTGATTAGTTATCACAGATATCCACAATATACTATACAATACAATACCAAAAATAACAAATAAACAACCGTAAATAACAACCAATATACATCTACAAAGTCAAAAAGTGTTCCTTTAATTGTTTAACAAAAATATTGTACCTTTTTTCACTCTTGAAACCTGCAGGTACCTAGTGAATTAAATGTTTTGGAGGCATTCAAAATGAGATTATATAAGCCTATGTTGGTTCTGGTGTTAATTTGGTATATATCATTTATTACTCTAGTTATGAACCTGGTTAGTAATTATTAGATATGTATTTGTTTTCTAGTGTTCATTCGTAATATTAAATATAAGTTTACATTGCTCAATTTGAAGTATTTCTCCGAGTATATGCATATGTAATTCTCTATACAAGGTATCTGTATGGGTTAGCCTATCATAATTGTACAATATCTTTAAAATTTTGTTCTGTAAAGATTGCATCTTACTGAAATTTGTTTTAGTGCACATTGCCCATATAGGCATTAAATATCTAAAGTGTGATAAAAAGAAGGAATTGTAAATCATTTTGTTTTATTAGTTAAATAATTCCTACACCGAAACATAAATGAGATCATAGGTAAAATTTTATTTGTAATTTTTTTTGTGTGTTCACCTCAATTTAGTTTATGGTCTATCATATTTTGTTTTGTTAATATTATTAACAGATTAATTCAAATTATTTAACAGATATAGAATGTTCATTGTTCATAGTGGTTCATCTTACTAGTCATCATTAGTAGGTTAACAAATAGCTGGTGTGAAGTTGGTAATCAGAGCTGTTGTAAGTACCAAGAAAAAGTACTTAAGTATTAAGTACAAATTTCTTTTTTGATATGAATTAAGTACCAGTACAAGTATAAGTACAGAAGGAAATACTTAAAATATCAAGTAAATTGACTCCAAATTCAAGTACCCAAGAACAAATTTTCAAACCGCACTAGGCTACGAACAACCGTTGCGAAGATACCGTGGTATAAAGCGCCCACTCGTAGCACTGTGACGTCATATGCACAAACTGAGTTTGACAGCCGGCGTTGGCGCGCGTTTTCTGACTCTTGCTGCATATATTAGCTCTGTTCCAACCGACATGGGAACCGTTCCAGAACCTGTAATTTCCAGTTGCTTACCTAAGTTGAAGGTTTATCGTAATTACCAAATGAATTGATCGACTGGAAATTACCGTTCTAGAACGTTTCTCATTTCGGTTGGAACAGAGCTATTATTGACATTATCGTATTGTTTTCGCGTTCTCACACCTATTGCTGCGTCAGTTTAAAAAGGTTTTGCAGTTTTTGCGTGTGTTTATGACGTCACACGATGAATAGACAAAACTTTATTTAGTTGTTTTGAAGTATTTAAAAATACTTCAATTAAAAATATTTATTTGCAATCATATATGTAATCTTGACATTACTGGTTTTTTAAAAATTTGGAAGTGTCACTTTACTTGTGTCACTTCCCTCTTCGATTTCCTTCACCGATTTCCCTATTCGACTTCCCTCACCGATTTCCCTCACTGTAATTTATTTGCCTTTGCTGGCAACAATGAGAACATGTCAGGTAAAAACGTCAAAATAGTGAATGACAAATTTTGGCATGTTTGTTTTATTTTTTTAATGTTGAAAAAATTGAATGACTAATCATAATTAATGGTGTGCTTGCAAATACAATAGTATACAAACCTCAAAGGAAAGTTTTCATTTCTGTCTCGAGATTAATAGTCAATCTCGACGCTCCGCGTCTCGATTGACTATATAAATCTCTCGACAGTAATGAAACACTTCCCTATTCGGTATGTAATATACTATTACTTCAAGTAATTTCACTGGTACTTAAGTAATTACATATCATTTAAGTACAAATTTTCAAAAGCTTTCAAGTAAAATTCACTTGACTGATATTTAAAGTATTAAGTACAATCAAAATTTGAAAAACTTGAAATTACAAGTACAAGTACCAATGTTTGGAATAGTACTTACGTCAAATAGTTGAGTATATTTTTGTACTTAAGTATTTACTTCAAGTATTTAAAATACTCAGTACGACATCTCTGTTGGCAATCAAATATTGCGAACCTACCAGTACCAATAGGGTAAAAAAAAAATGTGATTCAATAAATTCTAATCATTTCTCTGTATATCAATAAGAAATTGTGAATTACTATAATTTATTATAACAAAATTATTCAGGGAAATTGGATTTTTGCAAGTTTCAACTTTCCAGTCTCTGCTACTGCAAGAGGTAAACCACTCCACCGAATTTGTGCAAACAATTCCTCAAACTTCCCGCAAATTCCTCAAAATTCCCCACAAATTACTTTAAATTCCCTGCAGATTCCTCCATCTGCTGGCGAATTCCCTGCAAATGCCTGTTACAAATTCCCTAAAAATCCCCAAAACTGTTCGTGAGAAGAAATGTATTTTTCTTTTTTTTATTACGCTAGTTTCCATACATTCTTCCAATTCTTCATAAATTCCCCAAAGGGGGCAAAGAAATTCTAGGTGGTTTGGTCAGTCAAATGGTAACAGCTTCAGGCTGGCAGGGTAGGATAAGAATTGAAACAAAGCTAAACTTTATGGAACAAAACATCTTGCAAATGGTCCTTCAATTTTTCACTTCTTGGTGCTAGTACTATTTTAAAAGTCTGGATTTTCTGAAAACTACACATAATAACACTTTAAATCTTGAAAAACAGAAAGAAGGACAAATAAAGCTTAACTTTAGGGTGTAAAACATAGCTTCAACGTTTGGATTTCTCAAAAACTAGAGATAGTTACCGCTTCAAACTTGTAGGGTAGATAGAAAGGGGATTAATAAAGCTAGACCTCACATGAAATATTTACTTGGTTTGGTAAGGGTACAGCTCTCACTGAAATCCTGAAAATCTTGAATTCTCAGTTAACTACTAATTATTGTAACATCTTCAAACCTGCAGGGCAGAAAGAAGACTAACAAATGATAGACTTTACTTTAGACCACAAAACATTTACTTGGAAAGGATACAATTTCTCAGTTGTGGCAACTATCCTGGAAGTCTGGATTTCTTAAAACTATATACCATTAGATTTCAGTCTTCAAGATATTGAACATTTACTTGGAAACTTTTTGTTCCCATTTTTAATAGAATATTGAAATACAAAAACTACAATAAGAAAAAACAGTCAAGATTCTATAAGGATGCAAACCAGGGCGAGTTATATATTCTTTTAAATGAAAATGCTGATTCTTATGAAAATTATACCAATATTTATTTATTAATAGCAAAATGCTAGATAAACTTATTTGACCAAGATTGAAAGTTCAAATTTGAATTCCAAAGCTGAATGAGATTTCAGATTTTTCAAAAACAACTAAATTGCTCAAAATGGACAAGTAAAAATTCAAGATGGTAAAAATTTACACTTTAAAGGAAGGATACACTTAAAAATCCTAACAAATGAATTTCAAATAATCTTTTATATTAATTTTATTATAAAACATTATTATTCAATCTCAAAAACTACATTCGACAACAAGGAAAAGTAAAAAATTATTGCAAAAATATTAATTTATATAAAAACCCATTATTCTTAAAACTAAGTTTATGCAGACTGTTTCTTCAAAGCCTCAATATACATCCCCAAACTTTTCTGCACTTTCTCTTGTCCAATCGTCTCCATAAACAATTTCAAATCCGCCTCCCTTGTCTTAATCATCCTCTGAAGTGTTTCTCCTCTAACCATTTGCTTAGACATACTTCTAGCATAAGGCGGCAGCCTAGCAAAGCCACTTATAAATTTATTAGCACTTGCCAAGCCTTCTTCTTTGGATTGCACAATTTCATCAATAAGTCCAATCCTCAATGCTTCTTCGCTAGTGAATAGTTTGCCTTGAGTCAAAGCCATCTCAGATTGCCTTGTGCCAATTGTATGGGTCATTGTATTGACAAACCATGGAGGAGCTACAATGCCAAGTTGAGTCTCATTCAGACCGATAATGCTTTTGGGCACCATTACTCTGTATTCACAGGACATGGCCAATAAACACCCGCCAGCCGGTGAAGGTCCATTAATTAATGCCACAGTAGGGTAGGAGGAACCAAATAAAGCTATCCAAACATCTTGTAGAGTACTCCAGAATGTTTTTGCCCTGTCCAGGTTTGGTTTGTACATTTCCATAATGTCTAGGCCAGCGCAAAATGTTTTCAAGGGGCTCGTGATTATAGCCCCTCTGGATTTGTTTTTTTCCAGGTCCTGAAGGCATTGCTTGATTTCGGTTAGGAGTTCCAAGCTTAAGCTGTTCACTGGCGGTTTTTGGAGGTTCACCAAAGCAACTCCAGTTTTATCGTTGACTTCTACACCGACTAAATTCGTTGCTGCACTAAAACTTCTCGCGAAAACGGATGAAAGTAATTTCGATTTGGTTACATTTGCCAAAGCCATTTTGATGATTTGTACTGGAAAAATTGGGATTTAGGGGTTTGAGATTAAAAGGTAAGGCAATAATTACGGAGCAAAGTACAAAGGTTGAAATTACTTATAAACCAAATAGAAAACAAAAATCCTAACCTTACTTACTTTGTTTGATAATTAACATGAAGTTATGAAGGTCAGTTACATAAGTATAATAGTAATTTTGTATTGTTGATTTCGATGAACGAGCGCAACAAAACTATTATCGTTTCAACAAAATCTTACTGAAGAAAATTGCTCACAAATTACCTCGTAAATTACCTTGCACTTTCTCCCTTTCCTCAGATTTTGATATTTCAATCTTTCTCTAGATTTCCTTGACTTGATTCCTGTTAGAAATTTAAAATTTGAACTGATAACGTGATCTTTGAGGGAAAAGTGTCGCAATACCATTATAATGATCAGTTTATTTAGCAATTGGCTACCTCTCTCTTAAAATATTCCCAGAGATTTTGAAGATTTAATTTACTATTCATATAAGTAAAAATTTTCATTGTTTCTAGTTAAATAATTATGATTTTCTAAATTTATATATACCTACATAGGTATAACTTCCTTATTTTTATTGAAACACCCTGTATATATTATTTTGTCATAGTCAGAAAGCCCGATTTTTCTACTTATATTTTTTAATTATCTTGAAATTAGATCGTATAAATTGCATTTTGTTGCCAGGATTTTAATTAGTTAATAGAAGTATCAAACACAAATTGATTACCTATTGACCTTTTGCATGTTAGTGACAGTGAGAAAAAATTCATAATTCCATTTCTGAACCTGAGATCTACTCACTTGTGGTCTGTTCTGTTCGACAAAAAGACTACTCAATAAATTCTATCCCCTTGAATGAAAAGGATTTCACCAAAAAACTGAATATTATTAAACAAATTGCCCTCAATAATGGATACAACCCGAACATCATTGATAGTCTCCTAAGCAAAAATCAATTTAAAAAATGTATCAATATGATATACCCAACAATCCGAGATCCTAATAAAAACTTCAAGTCATTAACATACTTCGGTCCAAAAAGCAAAAAACTCAGTTCTTATTTAAATAAATTAGACATTAATATTGCCTTCAAAACATCAAAAAATTCACTTGCTAAACATCTCAAAAACACTAAAAGCAAATCAGATAAAATGTCAAAGTCAGGAGTATATCAACTTACTTGTAATGAATGTCCAAAAACGTATAGGTATAGGTCAGACAGGAAGATGTTTTAAAACGAGAATTTCAGAACATCATAATTCTTACATAAAACGCAAAACTGATTCTAATTATTCCAATCATCTTATTGAAACCAACCATACATTTAATGATAACATAAAAATTTTGCATACAGAAAATAAAGGCTTCAAACTCAACTACCTGGAATCATTGGAAATTAATAAACTTAAAAACTCAGATTTTTTACTTAACGATCAACTAGATTTAAATAATTCTCCTTTACTTAATATTTTCAACTATTAAATATTCACGGACATTTTATTACCCTTGTACCCTTTAACAATTATAGACCATTGTAATTTGTAAATTAATAATTTCTAAGTATGTTTGTAAAATTGTGTACCTGTTAGTTAAGATAACATATAAATAGTGACCCACCATATAGTTTTAAGTAGTCTGATAAAGCTACAGTGTAGCGAAACATGTTACTGTAAATAAATTAGTGAAAATTAACTTTTTATTGCTTTTTCCAACCATGGATAAATTCAATTTTCATCAAGTATCGGCTCAATCAATTCA